AACACCGAGGGTTGCGATCCCGTTGCCGGTCGCGGTACAGGTGGGCGCAACACCGAGGGTTGCGATCCCGTTACTGGTCACGAAAAAAGACAAAAAGGAAAAAAAAAAAAAAAAAGAAAAGCCCTAAAGGCATTTGAGAAGTCTGGAAGGGTGCCCCACCCATCAAAGGCCCCTAGGCCTAGAAGGACTGAGTGGTCCTGGAGGATAGACCTGGGGTGCAGCTACCCTCAGGAACCTGCTCCCTGCATTGCAGCTGCTCTGGCTGGAGCAGCCCCAAGTGTGGTTTGTGCAGCAGCTCTGGAGAGTAGAAGCCTGAAAACCCGGTGACGTCCATGTTGTGTTAAGTCTGCTGGCCGGCAGGCTGTGAGAACAGTGGAGGCGTGGCATCCTCCTCCCAGATTCCAGAGGATGTATGGAAAGGCCTGGGGACCCAGGCAGAGACCTGCTGTAGGGGCAGAGCCACTACAGAGGCCATCTACTAGAGCAATGCTGAGCAGGAAAGTGGGGTTGAAGCCATCGCAGAGAGCCCCCACCAGGGAAATGCCTAGTAGAGCCAAGGCAGCTGGGCTGCTGCCAGGACCCCAGAACTTCAGGGCCACTGGTAACATGCAACATAGGCCTGGAAAAGCTGCAGGCAAGGCTACACCTGGCAGAGCTGTAGAAGAGAGGCTGCCTGAAGCTTTGGGGGCCCAGATGCCCAGTTGTGCTCAGTATACAGGACTTGTAGTCAAAGAAGATTATTTTGGAGCTTTAAGACTTAATGTCTGCCCTGCTGGGGTTTCAGACTTGTTTGGGGCCTGTTTCTCCTTTCTTTTGGCCCATTCCTCCCTTTTGGAAGGGGAATGTACATCCAATGTCTGTTGTACCACTGTTTCTTGGCAGTAGATAAATTTGGTTTTGTTTTTCAGGTTCACAGCTGGAAGCACTTTTGCTTTTGGTCTCAGATGAGACTTTGGACTTTGAAGTTGGTGATGGAACAAGCTAAGACTTTTGGGACTGTTGGGATGGAATGACTGTATTTTGTATGTGAGAGTGACATGAATTTTGGGGGGACAGGGGGTGGAATGATGGAGTTTGGATGTGTTGTTCCCTCCAAAACTCACATGAAAATTTGATCCCCAATGTGGCAGTGTTGGAAACTAATTGAGTTATGGGGGTGGTTCCCTCATGAATGGATTAGTGCTCTCCCTAGGTGGGGAGTAATGAGTTCTCACTCTATTAGTTCCTGTGAGAGCTGGTTGTTTAATAGACCCTGGCACCTTCTCTCTCTCTCTTGCATCCTCTCTTGCTTCCTCTTGCCATGTGATCTGCTTATACCTGCTGCTAGCTGCCTGCCGCTTTCCACCATGAGTAGAAGCAGCCTGAAGCCCATGACAGATGCAGCTGTCCCAGAATCGTAAGCCAAATAAACCTCTTTTCCTCATAAATTACCCAGTCTCAGGTATTTCTGTTACAGCAACACAAAATTGACTAATACAGAAAATGCTAAGACATGGAAAACCTGGAACTTTCATACACTGCTGGTAGGAATGTAAAATAGTACAACCACTTTGGAAAACCACTTGGTAGTTTCTTAAAAAGTTAAATATATACCTTCCATATGACCCAGCTATTTCACTCCTTGACATATACCCAAGAGAAATGAAAGCATAAGTCTTTACAAAGACTTGTACACAAATGTTCATAGCAGCTTTACATGCCAAACTATTTCTGAGGTCATACTCCCGGTGTAAGTGCCACCCTTCTCCAGTCTCTATAGTTAGCTTCTCAATTGATTCAAGTGAACCTAAGGATTTACTGAATACTTACATGCTTACCATTTTAAAGTGTTATACATTTACAGGATAATTCTTACTGTTAACAGGAACAATTATGCAATGAAGACATCTATGAGATAGGCTATTTTTATGTTAAATTTAATTAAAATCATAATGAAATTTTATTTTTGAACTGAAGATTTAAAAATAAAAATGCAAATTGAAATCTGCTATTGTTAAGTTAATCTTAGAGTATTTTAAATCTATACAACAAAATTCTTCATTCAAAGTAATATGTATGTGAGAGTATAGGCCAGTAGAATGTTTATTTATTTATTCTGTAGATCATTTACTTGGTAAGTACTATGCTGTAGGTACTGGGACAGATTGGGGATATAGAGATGAAGACACAAACCTTCCCCATAAGACAGTCATGTGGTGGGGATGGACATTCACATATGGCGTAAGCACCATAACAATGTCCGTCTTACCCCAACTTTCACGGGCCTTTTGTGGAGCAAGTGGCCTCTGGGCTGTAGGTGGAGTCAGACTAAAGCTCCTTGGCTCTTTAATGAAAAATTTATGGGTTTGCAATTTAATTCCAATACTGAAAGGAAAATATTATCCCCGAACCTAAGTGGGAATAATTTCGCACTTCAGAGCACGCTTTTCAGGAACAGCAAACACTTTGTAAATAAAATGAGTTCAATCTGTGGCTCATGTAACTTTAATGGTAATCTCTGGCCTTCATATATTGTTATCATGATGTAATAAATAGATCACAATTTCATACTATATATAAAAATAGCTGTGGGTTTGAATCTCACCCTTTCACTTTCAGATGTATAATTTTGGATAAGTTTCTTAATTTCTCTTGTATCATGTATAAAATGTGGCCAATATACAGCTGTGAAAATTAAGCATAATATTGAATTCAAGCAGTTTAGCACATTCATGAATTAGATTACAAATGCAAAAACAGTTGACTATTAACATAATTATTACCAGTAGTAAACTTTAGACTTCTCACTTTCTCTTTGATCTGGCATTCCATCTTAGATGGCATATATTTTCATCTGCCTCTACTTAATTTTAGTGTTGAAAGAACCAGATAATAGTCAACACAGCAACAACTTGGGTTTTATTTTGTTTTTAAAGTTTTTTTTTCCCTTATTATTGAGCAAATAAAAAAAATTATTGGTTGATGGTCTATACCTGGAAAAAAGTACTTACGAGGAAGCAAGAGAGAGCAGAGAAAGACAGACTCTCCTCTTCTTTTAAAGTCCTCAGAACCACGCCCATGACCACCATTTTTAATCCATTCACTACTACACGGTCCTACAATCCAATCACTTGTTTAAGGCTCCACCTTTCAATTACCATAATAGGATTTCCCACCCTCTTAACAGTCACAGTGGGGGCCAAGTTTCTAATATATAATACTTGGGGGACACAATTCAAGCTTCAGGGAGTTTTGGGGGAACATAATTCAACTCACTACGGAGTTTTTTCTTAAATTCTGATTCTATTCCTACAGCTTTTAGAATTCAGTCAGCAATGAACACTTGTATTATTTAACAAAAGAATTCATAGCTAACATGTATGTGGTCAAAGTATAATAAGGCTTTGTCCTCATGACTATGTTAATTAAGTAGAATTACAGATGTTTAGATATTCAAAACAGTATACCATTTAAGAGGTCTGAAGCCTAAACCAGCTGATGGGGAAGAACCAAGAAGTCCCCCTTGTCTGACATTAAGATTTTCTATGGTCCTGAAAAATAGGCACAGAGTGGGAAAAAACAATAAAAGTAAAGAGGGAAAAAAAAAAAATGATCTCTTCTCTTAATCACATACTTCTATCATCACTCTTAACATAAAACTGTACTTGAAGATGTCGTGGTGCCAAAATGTGGGGAAACAAAGAATTACTTATACATTATTACACACATTATTTTAAAATGTATGATCTCTTCTCTTAATCACATACTTCTATCATCACTCTTAACATAAAACTGTACTTGAAGATGTCGTGCTGCCAAAATGTGGGGAAACAAAGAATTACTTATACATTATTACACACATTATTTTAAAATGTTGATGCTTGGCTCAGTTGCAGAGTACTAAATGCATATATATCCCCAAATGTAATGCTAACGGGAGTTACTGGTAGTTATGCTTAAAAACCTTCAGGGTCCAAACTGAACATAAATCTCTAGCTAAAATTATCAATTATTAAAGTATTTATTCAGCATCTTCAAGATGAACAACATTACCACTATCTCCAGGAAGAGTATAAAATGAAAACTAACAAGTATACGAAAAAAAATAACACAGGATTTTTTAATGAAAAAATTACATTATAACAAGGACACTATACATTAAGTTACAATATATATATACACATTTTAAATCTTTTTAAACCTGGTATAAATTAAACAACATCTTTCTCATATCCGCATGATTATGTATGTATTTTGACAGGATATAAAGATGAAACACAAGCTGGTGGGCCTCAAATCTAGAAACTCTAATGCAGAACCAGATCCCCAAACCTAGGTTTTCTATCATTTCTGTGACTTTTAGGAAACATTTACCTTGCATAACATATAAAAACTTTTTCTTTTAAGTATACTAACTGCTTATAGAGAAAATTGCTATCGAGGGAAAGGTCTGCCATGGTTCTGTTTATCTATAATTCATTGTAGTATATATAAAGTTCACTTGGAGGTTTGAAACATGAAAACTACAATGAAGAAACAAGCTAAACTGTAATTGTGAATTTTTAACTGTTTATTTTGAATGTCCAACTCACTACTACAGATATTATATCTTGTAATACATGACACAAAAGAAAGTATGTCAATCTTTGCTGTAGAGCTGCTAGGAGAATGCCAAATATAGGTACTGAAAATTTTATGCACTTGTATTTAATACATTGTGCATTTAAAAAATAATTAAACATTTTAAATATGTAAACATTGTTTTAAAAAAGTAATGCTAAGCACCTTTAAACACAATACTGATACTTAGTGACTAAACATGCATTTAGAGGGCAAATGAATTTTTAAGAACTCATTTAGAAACCATTTTTAAAGAGTTACTCATTGAAATACTTACATGAAAATATTGATAGTTCCAGTTTCTACCTAAAAACCAAAAGAGTATACAATTAGGGATTTAAATCTTCCTTCATGCTCTTGGTTTTTGTGAGGGGTTTTGTTTCTTGTTTGTTTGAGGGGAGGATGCACTGTAATTTTCTGTCTTTGTGATAAAAAACATTATCAGAAGAGACATTCACACAGAATAAAGTGAGAGATATATTTTTTAACTATACCAAGTCTGAATCCTCTGACATCTCTCATCCTCACAGTAACCGACTAGAGTTTGTCTGGTTTTGTTTTTTGGTGGCTGGCTGGTACGGGGATCCAAACCCTTGACTTTGGTGTTATAACATCATGCTCTAACCAGCTGAGCTAACTGGCCAGCCCTAACTAGAGTTTCTATCTTTTTTTTTTTTGTGGCTGGCCAGTATGTAGAGTTTCTATGTTAAGCATTTCTCCTTAGCAACTCAACATCAAATAAGAAAGGAATGTCTCCAAAAGAATATAGTTCAACTGGTGAAATATTTAATAATATACCATTATCATTATCGAAAGGTGAAGATCTATTATTTAAAATCTTGAAAAATGTTTCCATAAAAACTAGAAATAATAAGTGAAAAGAATATTACCTGGAGTGTAACACTGAACTATAAATTCGTACTTATTCCTTTTAAATACACACAGACTAAGAGAAATATGGGTTTGAGGTAACTAAGGATGTGTTTAACTTGGCATAATAGAATCAAATTTGGCAGCCTGCCTCCATAAATGCCAACATCAAATATTTTCAATTCATCTAAAATAAAAGCAATTCTTATTAAAAATCATATACATAACTAAATATTAACTTTGCATTAAATAAGGTATAAATAATAAACTCCATATTAAATAGGATATAAATCTAAAAAGCACCTATTTCTAATATAATAGTACTTTATATTTAGATACATGTCATATACCTGAAACAAATAAAGTGAATTAAGAATGGTAGCCTGGATTTAGAAAAGCCAAAAGAGACTCATACTCATGTAAAGCGTTAAGGTTAAATTTCATATATATTGCTCATGCTTTGAATATTAAACATTAATAATTTAAAATCATTATTTTTTAAAAATAAAAATTTAAATCTACCCCTGAATGGTCTCTGGAAAAACAAAAGCCATTAGGTTGACTTCCTGACAGTTATAGCTGACATTTCTAGTTTATCAATCTTCCAGAAAACAGAAGCTTATAATAAATATACTGATTAGTATATTTCTGGTATTTAAAGTAAATATACTTACTTAACAAGCAAATATACCAGATCAGATATTTTAAAGTTTTAAATATGAACTAAATTTTAAACTATAAATACTTACCTTGAAATACTATAAATCCTAATACCATCAATTCAGTAAAAATTCTGGCATAAAAAATGTAAATAAAACTCAAATTCTAATCAGAGCTGAATCTTCAATAGAAAAAAAGGAAAAAAAATCCTTTGCTGTCATCAAAAAGTTCCCAAATTATCTGTAAACACCAGGGATTTCTATTATTCTTTCTGAATTCTCTCAATTTCTACATCTGTATACCTGTAAGTAGTGTTTTACCTCCAATACAGTATAAATCCACACTGCACATATTAATTTCTGTTGCTTATCTGATTAATTCAAGTTAAAATGCTTAGCAACTTCCAAGACACTTTAAATTTCTATCAGATGACCATTAATATGCTATTGGTTGGTAGTTAACAGTACAAAAACTAGAAAGGAAGAGGCTAAAATGCAGCTGCAGTTTCCACAGACGTGACTGCTAGGCTTTGTGTTACAATGTAAAACTATTGTTTTATCCTTCCAAATAAGACAGACTATAAACATCCTCTCACCTGTCTGCCAATTAAGAATTTCATCACAACTTTAAAGAAAGAATAAGTTCTTTTAGAACTTAAAAAAAAATCATGCCATACATACACACATAGAAAAACATACACTCACAGTTTTTGTTATTGGTGTTCTTTTTTGTCTTGTAAGAGCCAGAACTGTATATTTCCAAGGATGAGTTAGATAACTATATTACTGTGGATAAGTCCAAACAAGCTTTTGAAATACTGGCTTATTAGATAACTAAAAAGCATAAGAATTATACAAAATAAGAAGAGCAAAATATCTCTTAAGGAAAGTAAAAATATAGAATTGACAACAGAGTTTTAAATCAAAGCTGCTCATCAAACCAGTCTTCAGTCCAGTTATCACAACGTCGTGCTTTGGCAATATTCACCTTCTTTTCTAAGACATCAGAGGTCACCAGAGCTGTATATTCTGAAAGGCTTCAATAATTTATGTAGCAAATAATTTCGTACAGTCCAAATTTCTTTTTGCTTCCATAGATAATGCTGGTTCTTTAGGTTCTTGCTTAACTTGGCTCACTGAAATGGTACCTTCTGGATTTTCTTCAACTTTAAAACCAAACATAAAAGAAAAATCCTAAAGGTTAATATAGTTTATTACACTCAAAAGTTTAGAATTATATGAATTTAGAAGCAAAGCAAAAAACAGTAGTTTGGAAAAAGAACCAAGTAATTGAGAAAAGCAGTTAGTGTATTTGAAAAATTCAGTGCTCCTGACATCATAACAGTCATTCATCATTAAATTTCTTCAGTATGCTTCTAGTAATGAAAAAAAGAAGAGACCAAGAACACTGTAAAGTTAATATTTTCTACAGACACCCTGACCAAAAAAAAGAAAAAAAAAAGCAGTTCATAATTTGATACAATTACGGGGAACATCTTGTATTTAAATTTAACCATTTTTAAAAATAGTGTGAATAAAAGTCAGGAAGCCTCCCATCATTTGAAAATGATTTGTTTTACAAACAGCAGGCACATGTATTACAAATTCATAGATGTGTTATATCATATGGTTTCCATATGTGGTCATATATCAAGAAAATGTTCCTTCCCTTAAGGACCTTAACAATGTTAGAAAAAACATGCCACATCTTAAATGAAAGCTCTGACTTAGCTGTGTGAACTATATTTTTGCTTATCTGAAACATATGAGAATGTACTTACCCTTCTGTTTTCAAAGTATTTATGACCAAATTAATCTAAATGTAGCATACCAACAGCACTATTGTGAACTGGCAAATGGGATGCCTAAGATCAATCTTCATCTTTCTCTCTCAGAAATATGAGTTTTTCAGTTGCTATACAAAACTGAGATTAAAGGAATTGTATTTATTCAGAGAGGTGTGTGAAATACACCTAACGATTGTTACAAATGGGTGTGTCTGAGACAGAGAACCAGTAGAGGATGGATTTGAGTGACTCTGAGGGCTCATATCCAAATGAAATAGTCCTTCAGATTATTATTGAACTTAATAAATCATGCAAATTTGGATCCAAAGAGGATCTCCTTTAAAGCAATCTGGATCAGAGCTCCCAAATACCTTGGCACAACACACAGGAAGGAAACATGCTAGGATGGAAAAAAACTTTGGAAGGCAGACATATCTGGGTTTAAATCCCTGCTCTGTTACTTACCAGATGTGAGCTTCAGGTAAGTACTTTTTTTTTTGCAGCTGGCTGGTACAGGGATCGAACTGTGAACCTCAGCATTATCAGCGCCACACTCTAACCAACTAAGCAAACTTGCCAGATTCATATACTTAACCTCTCTTAGTCATGGTTTCCTTATCTTTAAAATGGGGACACCATTAACTATTTCATGGAGTTGTGAGAAATAATTACATATATTCCTTTTTCCTCTCATCTACTAAAGTTCCTCAGTTGTTACAACTGCCACAGCCCTCTGTATATATTTTCTTAAAAGTAATGCTTCCAATAAATTTAGAAGACAATGACTCTTTTCTGAAATAAACTATCTCATAGTTTTGCTTACCCAGAAGAATGATAACTAAGATGGAGAAAAAATACTTTATATAGTCTAAGAATAATTTCTGTGAAGATTTTTGTTCTTCAAAGCAAACTGCAATTTTTTCCTCAGAAAAATGCCTAATCCAAAACAATTTGTGTAAAAAGAAGTGACGTAGTTAAATAAAGTAGGAGTTAAGAGAGTTTACTACTATGTTTAAAGGGTTAGTAATAAAGTGAGAGTAACAAGGTCTTGAACTAAATACAAGTGCCCAAGTCTTACTAATCCCTTTCAACTTCCAAAGAACTCAACATTTAAGTGTATAACTCAAAATTTTCCTTTACCCTTTATATCTGCTCACTTCATTCCATCTTTCTTTGTGTATGTGTCAATTTTTCCATAATAACCTTTGTACTAAAATAGTTTTCCCTGTTTTATTTGCTCCTATCAGTTTTTTTTTTTTTTCCCATGCATTCTAAAATGACCTTCCTGGTTTCATATCACCGGATTTTTTTAAGGAAAAACAAGTAATTAGGGAATGAATAACTTCGATGGGACTAAATAATTAGAAATAATGAGAAGAAAAAAATTTAAAGGTTTAAAGGTTCTTAAACTCACACTAATGAAATACCTCCACCACTCCCATAATTTTGCTTGATTTATAATATATTATAAATCCACTGGGCAGAAATGATAGTTTTTTCTGTAGTGTAATATAATAATGATAGTCCATAAAGCTTAAAAAATAATATCATAAGCTGATTTTAACTTACTAAGAGTTGGGTGGTTGTCTATAATCCGTAATGGAATGGTCTGCACATCTCCCAACAGAATCTGATGAACACTTCTGTCCAGATTCCCTGTATCTTCAACATCTCCAACTTCCACCAGCTGATCCATGGCAACTAGATTTTGATCTGGTCCTTGAAGATTACCCATGGTAGATGCAGTACTATTGTTTTGGGTTAGGCATGTATCTGTTTGAAGGCTATGACTTTGACCAAGCAGTAGAGAATTATTATTATTTACAGCACTTCCTACTGAATCCAGAAGTCTTGAAGGACTGGAGGAGGAGTGGTTATTTACTGATATCAGAGCCGGTAATCCATCAGGAGAGGTAAATCTTGGTTGTAACTGCAAACCCTTTTAAATCAAAAAGAGTTGTATCAAAATTCTTGAATTTACTATGTCTGAAATTCTCATACATACACATATATTATTCTTTTGACAAACAACTGGAACAAATAAAATATAAGAGTGTAGTTACTAACAAATATTAAGTGAGGACAGAAAAAAAAAAGCCGGCGCACTCTCCAGTGCGCCACTGGGCCGGCCCGGAAGAGAATTTTATTAAGGAAAATGTTGATGTTCCTGAAGAAAACTGAGGGATCATTGATTGGAAGTTCACATGAGGTTGAAGAATAATTATAGCAAAGTACCTGAACAAAAGTCCTGGAAGAATAAGGTTGTGATCAAAGAATGGGATGTTTTAATTTGACATTTTAGAGGTAGAATAGTCCAGTTTATGACCATAGCAGTGAGAGACTGCAGAAGAATGAAGTAAAAGGACATTAGAATGAAGAAGGCAAGAAATGTGAGAGTGCTGTTTAATCCTCTCAGCAGTACTTTGAGGAAAGACTCATTATACTGATCTTACAGTTGAGGACACTGAAGTTTAGAAACTGAGTTTTATAGCATGTTGAAAGTCTCACAGAAAACCCAGTGCTTAAATCCATCCTTTTCTTTTTATTTTAATTTATCAATATACAATGTAGTTGATTTTCATGTCCCTTTACCAATTCATCCTTTTCCTCCATCCTTTAATGATACCAGGACCATTTTTAAAATTAGTTATATTAAGAAAGTAATATTGATTGACCTAAAGTTTAATATATTTGGGTTAAAATATAAGAATTATGTGAGAATGATTCAAGTTCTCTAAGAACAATTACTTTAAAAACTGAGATATTAAGAACACAGAGAAGTTTTTACTTTTACTTATTGATTCCAAATGAGTTATTGAAAGAAATTTAATACTGTTATTATTGAGGATCTATTTTTGCCAGGCATTGTCTTAGGCAGTAGGGCTATAAAAGATGAATAAAGTTTGGCCTTTGTGTTTGAGGAGCTCAATAGGTTTCACACATCTAGAGAAGTATAGGTGTAGTCCAGCATTATAGAATGTAGAATGGACTAGATTAGAATGATAAATACAGTCTTTCAAAGAAAAAAGTATATTTCTAGATCTCATCCTAGATCTGCTGAATTAAAATTAATGGAGGTTCAACCTAGGAATGAATTAGGATGATCTAGGATGGGATCTAGAAATATACTTTTTTCTTTGAAAGACTGTATTTGTCACTCTAATCTAGTCCATTCTACATTCTATAATGCTGGACTACACCTATACTTCTCTAGATGTGTGAAACCTATTGAGCTCCTCAAACACAAAGGCCAAACTTTATTCATCTTTTATAGCCCTACTGCCTAAGACAATGCCTGGCAAAAATAGATCCTCAATAATAACAGTATTAAATTTCTTTCAATAACTCATTTGGAATCAATAAGTAAAAGTAAAAACTTCTCTGTGTTCTTAATATCTCAGTTTTTAAAGTAATTGTTCTTAGAGAACTTGAATCATTCTCACATAATTCTTATATTTTAACCCAAATATATTAAACTTTAGGTCAATCAATATTACTTTCTTAATATAACTAATTTTAAAAATGGTCCTGGTATCATTAAAGGATGGAGGAAAAGGATGAATTGGTAAAGGGACATGAAAATCAACTACATTGTATATTGATAAATTAAAATAAAAAGAAAAGGATGGATTTAAGCACTGGGTTTTCTGTGAGACTTTCAACATGCTATAAAACTCAGTTTCTAAACTTCAGTGCCCTCAACTGTAAGATCAGTATAATGAGTCTTTCCTCAAAGTACTGCTGAGAGGATTAAACAGCACTCTCACATTTCTTGCCTTCTTCATTCTAATGTCCTTTTACTTCATTCTTCTGCAGTCTCTCACTGCTATGGTCATAAACTGGACTATTCTACCTCTAAAATGTCAAATTAAAACATCCCATTCTTTGATCACAACCTTATTCTTCCAGGACTTTTGTTCAGGTACTTTGCTATAATTATTCTTCAACCTCATGTGAACTTCCAATCAATGATCCCTCAGTTTTCTTCAGGAACATCAACATTTTCCTTAATAAAATTCTCTTCCGGGCCGGCCCGGTGGCGCACTGGAGAGTGCGCCGGCTCCCGCCGAGGGTTCGGATCCCATGTGGCAACCGGTTCCTGCTCACTGGCTGAGCATGGTGCGGACGCAACACCGAGAGTTGCGATCCTGTTGCCGGTCCCCGGTACGGGCGTGACACCGAGGGTTGCGATCCCGAGCGTGGTACGGCGGGTCTCAAAAAGGACAAAAATAAATAAATAAATAAAAAATATAGATTCCTGGCTGGCTGGTTAGTTCAGTTGGTTAAAGCAGAGTGTTAAAACACCTAGGTCAAGGGTTCAGACTCCCATACCGACCAGCCACCAAAACAACAAAAAATTATATATATATACAGAGAGAGAGAGAGAGAGAGAGAGAGAGAGAGAGAGAGAGAGAGAGAGAGAGAGAG